GGATTTTACCGATTCCGGGAGCTTTGCAACTTCCCAAGATTGTTGCTACTTTTGTGACTTCGTCTTCACTGTCTTTGCTCTTCAGATGAGTCTTCGTTCAGGATCTCCGGTCGGGTTGAAAAGTTCCTTAAAGTTTCCTCGCTGTCACTCAAGTTGTACCCTCTTCCTCGATAAGAAGGCGTCCGAAACTGCTGTTCAAATACCTGACTGCCATTCTTCTCATCGGAGACGACGCGGACGGTCTGCCAGAATAACCTGTTTGCCATCTGTAAATTCAGCTTCAACACCTCACCGAACTTTTCCCTGGAATCATCTTTCGCTGACGCGCTGTATGCTTCTTGGTACTACATTAGAGTTAATCGATGTTCGCTTTCAAGCCACCTCGTGTACTCTTGGACACCTTCTTCTTCTTCTCGGTGACAGCCAGCTGAACCTCTCTTGTCCTCCAGGAGGATCGTGTCTGACCTCAAAGGCGGAAGGAAAACCATTCATCAACCGTGGCATTCGGCGGCAGCCCCGATTGAATCACCTCTCTTACTGATCATCATGGAATATGCAACTACCAAATGGGTCCAGACGAATTGCTTCTTTAAGAGGCACATGTCTCTCATTCCGATATGATCTCGCCATGATACCACGCTGTCCCTGTTGTTTGCAGGTCAGTGTCTTGCTACTCACTTCTCGGCTGGGTGCACGGAAGCAACGTGGGGTCAATTGTTTGAGTGAAGAAACAATCGGTTAAGACAAACTTTTTCTTTTCAGGATTCGAATCTGGCGATTCAAGAGTTAGAAGCCGATCTCTTTGTTACTTTGTCACTTCGTCCCAACCCTACTCCGTTCATGACAGGCCCTCTCGACTACCTTTCGTGCAGGAGGCTGCAAAGGATATGTGCGAACATTTAGTCGATCTTTATAAGTACCCTATTGCTCATTGCGATAAGAGATATGGCTAATACCTCAAAACGTGCTGAGTAGCACCGAGCCTTGACCTCGACAGGAGAACTCAGCCGCGAATTATAAACGACTATTGTATCATTTTGATATTAGTACAGCATGTTTCAGTCTCCTGTCAATTCTCCCGCTTTGTATGGTAGTAGTCACACCGTTTCCTTGCTTCTAGTAACATAAAAGATCATTTTAGTTGGAGAGTGCGCTCATAATATCGGAGCGCTAAATTTGGGTTTATATGACTGTGGATCGAGGTACATCCGTTGCTGTTCGAATGTGTTTTGGTTCGACCGAAAGAATTGGTGCATTTCTGCTCCCATGCACTGCATGTGTTAAAATGGTGCAGGGCTATGGCCTGCTTAAACGGTCACGGGTCTCGTAGGCCACTAAGGGCAAGTGGACTGCGCCGTAAAGTGACTGTTATTCTTGTCCTCAGAACTAGCAATTTGCTAGCAAACCCACAACACCGGGATTAAGTTTTATTATGACTTGTTTCGTTCGTGCTTTTCCCTAGAACTGCCGCAATGAAGCACCCTGACCCCGTGTTCATTACTCAGCCGCATTTCGCTACGTGACTCCAACGACGCTAAATGTTGATGTGACTGACATTCAGGCATTGATGGTACCCCAACGAAAGTCGCATGGATTAATTTGCAAATCTCTTACACGTCAATTCGCGCTTATCGGAATGGAGCGGCGCGTAATCCCCCTGAAATTCGTTCAGTAATTACGCGGAAAATAATTAGACAGTACAGAGGAAGCCGATTTACACCAGTGACTACGAATTTAAATAATTATATTTTTTTATTACCGTAATCAAAGGCACCATGGCGCTTGAGTGCTTTACGAACCGCACGATTCATTATGGCTACTTTCAAAGGTGGCGAGTAACGACAGACTGGTGCTTGCTGCGAGGGACGAAAGTTTGTGTGAGGTCGAGTCATAAGTGAAAAATCGCAGCCCTTTACGACTTCGATTCCGATTAGCTAAACAACGAGCTGAAGGCTGACTTAGCGATTTCCTCTAATTGCAAATTGTTTTAATGAATTCGTAAGGCAAGGCAACCTTGTTACGAGAAGCGTCAATGAATTTCTGCCATAAAATGGTGCAGCTGAAGTCCGAATTGGTGGCACCATGAAACCTTCTGAACCCTGGGTTAAATGTAAGAAGCATACCATGCCTTTGAGTAAAATGATTGAGTTAGTTTATCAGGGGATTTCACATGCTTCTTTCATGAGGAGATTTTGTATCCTTCTCTTGATGGTTGAGGAAAGCTACGGCTACTAACAAAATTTGTCGCTAAAATGTCCCCTTTATTTATATCTCAATTTAGTAAACGTGCAAACGTGCTATTGGAAAAGCAACATATCGCGAATGCCACTTCTTCGCATTATTGCTCTCATGACACTGGCATACAACGAACGTTTATTGCTAGTTATAAACTATACATGCAACATACAATAGTCATGAGCATTATACCGATTTTCAAACGGCTGCTAGTCCCGTTATTGGGGAGTCTGACTTATGGCTTAAGTTTCATTTTTCGTACTGTAAGCAACCACGAACCGGAAGTCACTTTTTCGCTAGATCGTTTAATCACTCGTCTTTCTTTGTTTCGAGACTGATAAATGAGTACAATTCTGTAATAAAAGAACAAAGCACTA